CCCCCGCCCCCGTGGGGGCCGGCGGGGCCCGCCGTGACTTTGGGGCCGAGCGGGAGCCCCGGGGCGGCCTTGGGGCGCCTCTCTCCGCTCCCTCCGGTGCCGAGCGCTCGGCGCTGTGCGGGTCTCTGCTTCACCACCGCCGGTACCGATAACCGCGGGGGTTTCGGGGAGGATAAAATAAATGGAGGGCAACGCAGGGATGCGGTTGTTGCTGCTGCTCCATTTTCTCGTCTCTGCAGACAGCCTGGATCCAGCGACATTACAGGGCTTAATTAACCTGCGGGGTTGCGTGGGAGAAATGAAGGGAGCAATGGGCAGGGGAAAAAAAAAAACCAAACAAACCAAACCCAGAAGGCTTTGAAACCTTCACCTTCGCGATGACTTGAGGCCGGCCCTGAGACTGCGGAGCTGGGAGAGGAGCGGGCCCGCTCTCTGACAGCCCCGGCCCGGGGCGCAGGGCCCTGCCGCGGCGCTGACAGCCCGGTACCCTACCGGCTCCCACCCCACGGCGGGCTCTCCCCCCTTATCTCCTCCCTGAGCCCCCAGGGTAGAGGCTCAACCTTCAACTCCCTTTTCCCCATTTCCCTCTGCCTCTTCTTTAACTTTCAGAAAACACCGACACTTTCTACGTTACTTTTGGCCCAGCGCAGACTTTCGGTGACCTTCAAAACTCAGCTCGGAGCAGAACGAGGTTTTGGCCGCATTTTCCGGTGTTGCCTGACCCAAAGCTTCAGGAATGTGATAAGAAAGTTGAGTTCTGAACCAAGCTGCCGATAGTGAGGTCTCTTTAATTAGGGCGTTATCAGAGCCAGGCCTGATTAAAATGTGCTGAAAATAATTGAAAGTTGTACATCTGCTGGAGAACGGGGCCCGCTGGAGGCATCCAGTTGTTGGAGGAGCCCAGCTGGATGAAAGAGACAGGAGAAGGAGAAGAGGAAAACTGGGCAGAGGTTTCAAAGCCTTAGTCCCTAACCCCCACACCATCCCAGACTTGGCAGTAATGTCATCGCAGAGCCAAGGTAGCGTCTTTCCCACGGTCGGAGGAACCCGCTAAAAAAAAAAAAATAGGAGTTCAACCTTGAGGAGAGCCAAAGCAAGAACATTTTATCCATCCACGAAAAAAAAAGAAAAAAAGAAAGCAAACACCCTTTGCCGAATTCCTCCTTGCCGAAGGAGCTCGCTGAGTGTCGCCGAAAATAGCTTGTGGCTAAGCCGCAGGGCTGCCCGTGCGGGGAGGCAGCCCCGAGCAGAAGGGACACCCCCCCCCCCCCCCCCCGCGCGGGGGAGCGCCCCGGGGGGGGGGC